TTTAACAAATTTTCTGGACTCACGAATATTCTAACCGATTTAACTATAGTTTTTAGAAACTAAAATCTTTTTAAAAAAAATTAAAGGTTAACTAATTCGGACAAAATTGAATGGAAATCGGTGTGCATAATCAATCCCGATGATGGGAGGCTGGAATCGTCTGTTGTTTCTTCAATATCAGTCATGAAAAATCCTTCGCTTAGACCTTGATTTTCGTCTTGCAATTGAATGTAATCATATTCTTGAATAAAATTATCTTCAATTAAACTGGTGTTATTCAATTCTAGCATTTGAACATCCTCAATTTTAATTTCTTCGGTTGGAATGCCTTGATCGTTTTCGTCTACTATATAAGTTTCGTAAACGGGACGGTAAACTGTATCGGTGTCCTGTGTTTCAGTTTTCACATATTGGAAGTTTTGGTACTGCATCAAATTTTCACGAATCTGGTGATCGTTCAATTGACCAACTTGATTCGGTGGCATTCCAGATCGGTGCGATGATGGCGATGATGCGTTTGATGATAATGATTTGGATGGTGAAGCGGAACCGGCATTAGTTGGCTTGGTTGATGTTTGATTCTCACGCTTCTCCTTCATACGACGATTTTGGAACCAAATCTTCACTTGACGCTCGTTCAACTCCAATTGTTTGGCCATTTCGATGCGAGCTGCACGAGTCAAATATCGAGTGTTCTTGAAAAAGTTTTCAAGTTCGCTCAATTGATCGGCAGTAAAATTGGTGCGGATTCTTTTCGGTTTTCCATTACGACCAAGTTTAACAGGTGGTCTTGCTTCCATTTGTTGGTAAGGTACTTGAACGTGGTCATAGCTTGGCAATTGTGGTGCATCGGCAACCCAATTTTGCTGAAAAAAGAAGAAAAAAATTGAAAATTAGATTAAGCAAAATTAACGAAAATTAAACATTTTCTATTCATGTTTTATCACGTTTCATATTGTTAAAAAAAATAAACAAACTATAACAATACATACCTCATATGGAATGGTGTAGCTGCTTGATGCTGCGGGGTATGAAATTTGTTGAGTTGTAAACATTTTCGGTTGATGGGGTGGTTTTTAAAAATGAAATTCAAAAAATGTGAACTTGTTAACGCTTCAAAAACACCTGAGTGAATGATAAATGCAATACTTTGTCACGTATATTTATACAGGTTCTAGTGACTGAACATCTACTTTTAAGAGGGGATATGCAAAGTGAAATGCAAAATGGTGTTCTCTATACACAAAATGTATGGAGACAAATACATAGACTACAAATGCTCAGTGTGTTTTCTTTACCTGAGTTTTCAATGCAAATTTGCATATATGTGTACAATTGGAAGGAAAGACAGAAGAGCGACGTCGAGATATGTAACCCGACGGACTTTATTCATTTTTATTATTCTTCTTCGCCTCTTTTTCGGTTTATTTCTATTGTCTAATCGATGTTTATTTGGTAATTAATAAGTTTTTCAAAATCTATGTTAGTAACATGGCGGCGCAGTCAATGTATGCAATATGTGTTCCAATGATTACATTTTGTGGTCGCTTACGTCTTAATGATAATATTCAAGGGTCATATGTTTCTTTTAAATATATGTTACGTCTTGTAACGGAGTAAGACAGACCATTTTCAAATTAATGCACTTGTTTGCTTGTGTGAACGACGATATGATTGTCAAAATACAAAATATGAATATTAGGCTCGTGCCCACAAAAATCAATTACACTCTATGCGTCTCTGTGTCTGTCTTTGTCTGTATATACACACCTTACACATGGTTTCGTTCCGGTATCGATTCTTTTTTTCAATCGACATGAAATTGCCCAAACCATCGTCTATACATAATCAAAAAGCCAAATGAACTGATTTTTCCCCTTCATTCTATTCTTGTGCACATTTTGTTTATTCCGGTTTACCTGTTGCGAACATATTAATGGTTATAGTAGATTTATTTATGATCTTAATGAACGTGTGGCTCGCAGTTCTAGCGCCACACTTTCGATGCAACATAAATAAAAATTAGACTTGGCATAATTGTTCGTGTCGAATACTCGAAAATTGTTCAAAGTTCTTTTTCCATGCAATTGGCAAGCGATTACTTTTCATATGTGCACTTGATATTGAGTCATTTTCATTTCTTAAAACGTCTAACACCAATGAATCTAAAGATTTCTTATTAAATATATAGGTTGTCAGATTTTTTTTATGTCGATCCGAATTTGCTCTAATCTCAAAATTGTAAACTGAAAATCCGGCCGAAATTCATTTTTTTAAGCCAAAACATAAATATAGGTCACAGAAAATCTCTGTAATATTTTTCGTTTTCCACAAAAATGACTTGATGTATATTTATATAGTTTTGAAAAAGGGATTTGTCAATATAAAAAAAACCAAACTATTGATGTTATTCTTGAAAAATTGATGAAAATAGTGGGTTTTTTTCTTATCCGGGCATACGAGTCAAGCGATTTTTTGTTCGGGATAAATCCGGGAGTGCCAGATTGCCTTAATATAAAATTATTATTGATATATCCATGACGGTAATGTGCGAGGTAAATTTTACAGGGGGAAGTGATTTTTCGAAAACTACAAATTTCGTTTTGTTTGCTCTTCACTTTTTGGCCAATTCGAAAGAATTTCCCTGAATTTTCTACATTGATGAGCTAAAAAAGGTCTTGACTTTTTGAATGAAAAACCGCAGCAAATTCGAATAATTTCGGCGCAAAATTGTTTATTAATAAAAATCAGACATTAGGCTCGAGCTATGCATATAGCGGCTGCTATTTTATGTGCTATTCATAGGCGCTATTTAATTCGTGTGCTGTGTGTAACACCGAGTAGGAATATCATAGCCTACTATTCTTTTGTACATTTGAATGTGAGTACGAGAGAGATGTAGAAAATAACGCACAAAATGCATAAATGCATTAAAACGAGATAAATAGCGCCTATGAATAGCAGCTATGAAATAGCAGCCGCTATATCCATAGCTCAAACCTAATGTCTGATAAAAATTTTTCTAGAAAAGTCGAGTAGAATCATTTTAATTATTGATAGTTACAAAGCACTCTATAAAAGTATTTATACTTTTTAAAATCTTTATAAAGATTTTTTGAAATGAACAAACCATAAAAAAACATAATATCTATCCAATGAAATCATATGGGATCATAATGGAATACATTTTTCCAAGAATAAAATTTCCTTGATTATGTTAAATTTGAAGTGACAGTTCAAAGTATTACAACATCATGCGAATTGATCGTTGTTTATATGCAAAGTTTGTATCCGACAAATTTTCCTTCATTTAAAGATGCTTTTTACCTAAAAGTAATTATATTAAAATCGAATTTTCGTATCTACGCGAATCAACACAATGAAAAGCATGCTTTAATTTTTAATATTAAACCAAAAACGAAATGATTTATTTTGATCATTCATTCATTCTTTGGGTTTCATAACAAATGTTAAAAAGCCGGTTTGTATACATGTGAAATGAATTTTGGTGTTATTATACTTTGTCACATGTGACTTCACATTTACTACCAAGACTAATCTTTCGCTAGATGGCACTGACTCTCATTCAAATAATTTACTTATATTTCCAAAGATTATTTGAGCTTGAAAAAAACGTCTATTAATTTTTTTTATCCAATAGTTATGTCTATGAACGATAAAAATTGATAAATTACTATTGTTGGCAATTTGATCGTTGAAAAATGAAAATGGCAAAATACTTTTTGCGATTTTAGATTCAACATATGAACAAAATTGCGAAATTCAATATAATATTCAAATTAACTACAACCATAGAATTTCGAGAAAACTCATTCAGATTAATTCAGAAAATCAAAAAATAGTTATGGAATCAATCTAGTTAGAATTTGAACTGACTAGATTATTAAATAACTTACAATATTTGGTGAATTTTATGCACACCACTCGCCCGAACCGAATTCACCACCATACAGAAACGTCAAACATATACTCGATCAAAAATTCGTAAGCAAAGCGTACATTTAACCGTTTACACACATATCCAAAACATATTCGATCGAATGCATTCTTAAGCGATTTAAATGTTTTATTTCATTTGATTTGTGTTTGTTAGTTATATTGTTTTACGTGTTGATTATTGAATTTTCAGAAAAAAAGATCTTTCTAGTGGGAACCGACAAATAAGTCATCGGTAATAGCAAAATAGCAATATGTTTGATGTCATTGCGACGGCAAAGAAAACACAGTGGTTGTCATTTCCCACGCTAAGTTCGAAATACACACATCCACACGTTGGTGATGAGACCGTCGATTTTCAAGTTATTCCTGGCAAAAATTGTTTTGTAGAATTCAATAAAAAATTCGGGTTTGAATTATTGCGCACAATAAACAGCGATGGCAAAGAACAAATTCAACGCATTAAAAAGCGACGAGTGGATGACATATCGTGTGGTGCAATTGCAAAAGTTAATGGTGAAGAGATTGCACTTGGTATGACAACTGGCATCATTCGATTTTTTCATGTAAGAAGCGGTGAATACATGCCGATTAAATTCCAACCGGATCGATTGGGAAACAGTGTAGTTGGCCTGGACTATTCGAACACAAATGAATATTTGGCAGCGGTTTATGATAGTGCTGATATTAATTTATTTGCCCTTAAAACTGGCATGAAAACCGACACATTTAAGTTCAGTGGCAAGTAAGTATTTATTCGTTTTTTTTTTTCTTTTTTATTAATTCTTATTTAATTCTAACCTATTTTTTAAAAACACAGTTCTACGTTAGTACGTTTTCATCCGGTCAGAAAGTTTGCGTTGGCCGTCGGTGCGTATGATGGTTCCATTACTATGTTGGATATTCAAACAAAAAAGAAGCTATTCTTCGAGGAAGCGGCACACGACGCGCCAATTCGAGATATTTCCATGTACGATTCATCGCAAGACTTGTTCGTAACATGTGGATTCGATTGCAGCATCAACGTATTCGATTTACGTGAGTAAAAATTAAAATTAACAATTTCGCTTTTCTCATCGGTCATTCAATTGTTTCATTTGATCTCCTTAAATAGGTAGAAGTCTAAAGGTGCAGCAATACAAACAACCCCATCCAATGTCAACGATTTGCGTGTCGTCATGTGGCACGTTTTTAGTGGCTGGTAATTTGAAAGGAGATGTCATTTCTTATGATTTTCGTTCGATGAAGGAACCGCTTGATACAAAACGAGTACATGATAGTGCAATTGTACGAGTGGCATTCATTCCCAGTGTCACCACAGGTGTAGCAAGTAATACATTTGTCGAAAGCATAGGCTCAAGTCTAGAGACAACAAATGCCACATCACGGCCATCAAGTGGCTGCAGTCCAATGAGTGCATTCGATGTATCGCCTTACAACAATATAATCGAAACGCCAGTAGCCGCAACACCAGCAAGTCGACGTGATAGTTGGTCGGATTTGCTGGCAACAAAGAAGATTCATGACTTTTCAATGGATTCAGTGGCCGAAACACCAACTCGATTGTCCATTTTAGGTGATACACGTTTTGAATCGTCTTCGGACCAACAATCACGACTGTCTATGGATATGACGGTGAGCAGAGATCAAAGTATACCTATGAAAGTGTCAGAAATGAAAGAAAATCAGAGTGGAAAAATGGAAAAACCAGTGATTGAATCAAAACGTCGTCGTTTAACTCATACAACAGTGGCATTGGAAGAGATCGAAGAAGAAGAAGAAGCACTACCCAGAACTGAATCGAGATCTAATAATCAATCCGATGCAAATCCAAAAAAATGGTTGCACACAGTTGATCATAAGCAATTTGCTGACACGTTTGCCGCCTATGTTCAACGAATATACCATGGTAAAGGTGCTGAGAGCCAAATTGGCTTCGGCGAAGAAGGTTAGTATAAAAATGGGGAAAAATCATAAATACACATTAAATAAATTTATTCCATTTCACAGATAAAGAAAATCGTCCGGACAATCATCAATCGAGTCCGAATCCAGCTGATACAGTCGTTGAACCATTGACGGTTACACAAATCCCAAGCTGTAATAACAGCAACGAAATAACCATCGATTCACAGATGCTCAGCGAAATGCTGCGCGACAAATTACGAATACTTGAATTAGAATTTGAGAATCAAATCCGAAATTGGCAAAAGAATGTAATGGATTCCGTTCAAACAAAGATGCGAGAACTCACAACAGATGTACGGTACATTCAAGGTCGTTATTTTCAAAGTGATTTCAATCACCGATTCCGAAATCACTGTGAAATCGAAGACCAACTTGCATTGTACGAAGAAGGAATCGCAGCAATGTTGCATCGAGACACAGTTGATGATCAATGGCCTATTTATGCTAAAGAATCGGAGAATTTGCTGCGCCGGTATCATGAGCAACAACAATTGAATCCGAAATAATAGAATATTTTTTTATAAGATCGTTTGTACAGAGTTTAGAAGCTAAGAAGCTAATTCGTAAGATTTGTAGTAATAAGAATCAAATTCTTGTTTAAGTTTGTATTTTTTTCAAAGAAATGTTTTCATAAGAAAATGTACTTGTTTCGCATTGAATGTAAACAAAATTCAAGGTCAAAGAACCACAAATAACGCTTATATCTTACATCGTGTAAACATCAGTTGTTTTCTAAGCGTGCAAAGAAAAAATTTATTGAATAAAATGTAAAGAATCTCAAATAAAGCCACTTTCATTTTTATATATTTGTATCTGATAACGCTTCATTTATTCAAACTTTCTAAGTGTTTCTTAGTAGAAAAAAATCAGCATCATTTAGCTTGATGGATTTTATAAAGCAGTCGGTAGTCCATTCTAAATGATACATATATCAAATGGTCATTTGAAGAAATGGTCACAATTATAAGTTGGCTAATGGCCATTGGCAAGTGATTACATTTATATCGAAATATATTTTCATATTCGCTTTCCAAACTGAATCTTTTGAAATCATCATTTAATTTCAAAACAATAACGTGTCAATAACAAAAACATCTAACGCATGTGAGGTCATATAAATAATTTTTCGATTTCCAAACAGAATTCGTGATAATAAAACCAAAAAAATGATATTACAAAAATTTCCATTATTTTTTTTTCAAATCATCAATTTCGCTACTCCAGAAAAATCCAAGGCCATATCAATTACTGTTTTTAACCAAAAAGTTCAAAATATGAATAATAATAATTTGTTTCTTGCCTAGAAAATATGTTGACGCATTTGTATATTGAATTTTATCATGTACGTGTTTGTAAAAACATCTGTTGCCAAAAAATGTAAGACGAGAAAAATATATTGTTTTTCAATCAATTTATAAATTTAAATTAAATAAATTCCATAAATTGTTTACTGCTTTTCTTCAAGAAAATTTTTGCAATAAAAATTAAAATGGGTCGAATATCACCGATATTTATCAGTTCCGAATAAACTTTGTTCCAGAAAAAATCAAAAGAAAATGAAATACTTATTCGCTATCATCTTTCTTGCTGCCGCAGTTTTCATGCACACCAGGTAATTTCCATTTGAATCGTTGTGCTGAATAAATGCCACTTATTTTTACTAAAATAGTACTTCAACATAAAAAGAATAAGCAAAAATCAAATATTTTTATGTTGAAGTATGATTTTGGGGTAAATAAAAGATATTTTTTCGCCGATTCATTAAACTGTTAAAAATGTCCAGTTAAAATTAATGATAATTTTTAATGATTAAGCGCAAAACCATCAGATGATGAGCTGACTAAGTAAGTTTTATATATATTATAATTTTTCAATATGATAAAACACTAACACTGAATCTGTCTATTTCAGAGCTAGAAACTTTTTGGAAAGAAGCAATAAAAGTGGTTTAATGCTAGCGATGTAAGTTTATTGTTTCATATTGAGAATAAATCAGAATTTTGATTCTTTTCATTTCGTTTTCAGTTTGAGAAAAAATGGAATTGTCACGTAAGTTTGAGATAAAAGTTTAAATACAAAACTGATAAACATTTATTAATTTAATATTGTTTTCTTTTTGCAGTGATGATACGACCGAAGAAAAGTAAGAATAATTATAATGTGTAAATTTTGTTCAGTCCTAATATTTTGTTTGGATTATTTTTTTAGTGCTGTTAATCGTTTATATGGCTACACTGGGAAGTAAGTGATTATTGCTTTAAAACTGAATGAAATCATGATATTAAATTTTTGATTGTGGTTCACATTTTTAGCAAACTCAAGAATGCATTGAAGCACAGCGAACTATATAAAAATACGAAATTCACTGGTTAATCAGGTTTCTAGTGAGGCCAACTATTCAGGTACACTTTTTATATTGTTAAATTTAATTCGGTCACTCGTTTGTAGAGTATCAATTAATGTCAATGTACCATCAAAAATATTGAAATATTTAAATAAAAATGTTAACATCTGAAAAAAAAGTGTTGAATGATAATTACTCAATATTTCATAATATATATTCAAAAAAAAAAAATCATTAAATTCTCTCTGATGTTGATAAAAACCAGACAATATATTTAGCTGCCGTCATCTGGATATTTCAGCTCATCTGGATGCCGTCAGCAGATGATGCGAAGTGAAAACAATAGAAGTGATTGTTATAGTAATACCAGTATATAACAAGCGTATATACCTATAACAATCAATTCCATTGTTTTCACTTTGTATCATCTGCTGACGATATCCAGATGAGCTGTAATATCCAGATGACGACAGCTAAATATATTGTCTGATAAAAACAATGCATTCCAGCTTATTAAAAAGTTTGAAACTAATTCGTGACTAGAGTCAAAAGAATTATTTCAAGATTTTTTAAATAAATGTCTCCGTGAAAAAGTACTCATTTCGCATCAAATGAATGTTAACAAAATTCAAGGCCAACGAACCACGAATAACTCATCTCTTGCATCGTGCCGTTGATTAGTGTTATCTTATCACCTTATCGTAGAAAGAAATCAGGTGTCAAAGATGTGAATAACATACAAATTGTCGCCAAAGACTAATATTGCAGTTTGGCATGATGAATTTGATAAAGTAGCAGTCAAACGTCTGTTCTAACTGATACACAAATCAAGTACTCTTTATTATACTAAAACGAAAAAATATGGATGCAAATTGTCGGTTAAACAGAGATCGACCACACAAACCACGACGTTTAATAAGCAAACATGGTGAGCGAAATGTGAATTTTGTCAATATACCGGAAAAATCAAAACGATACATTCTGGATCTTGTACACACCATTGTAAGTTTGCCAGTGATACTTATATAAAAGAAAAGTTTAATCTTAAATTGAATTGAGATGATTTAGATTGAAATGCGATGGCGAATCGTCATATGTGCACATTTAATTGCTTCATTTGGATGTTGGTCTGTGTTTGCGGTATTTTGGTATATCATATCATATGCGCACAATGATTTGAATTTCGACAGTCAAAGTGGAGTTTCATTGCATGAAGGTGATATGCCATGTCTCCGAGGGCTTACTAGTTTAACGGATTATTTTCTATATAGCTTTGAGATACAGGTGAAGTAGAGGTTTTTTTGATAAAAGTATCTGAAGTTCAGCTATGACTGATCTTCATTGATTTGAAAATAAATTAATTTCATATTCAAAGTTCCGAATCATTGGATTACTTCAATAAAAGCATTCGAATATTCCATAAACATGTTTCCAATCAATGCTCTCATGACGTCATCTAGAGCTTCAGAAATTCGATAAATAAGAAAAACCAAAACTAAAAAATAGACTTTCAATCAAGTAGACAACTGTCGGCTTTGGTGAGAGATATCCAAACGAAGAGTGCCCGGAAGCTGTTTTTCTTTTCGTTGTACAGATCATATGTGGTATATGTATCGATGGTATTTTGATTGGAATTATTTATGCGAAGCTAACACGACCGCCTCGGAAACCATATGATTTGAAATTCAGCCAAAAGGCAGTAATTTGTCAACGAGAATCAAAGCACTGCCTAATGTTTCGCATTTGTGATCCAAAAGAGACACATTTAATTGGTTCTAGACTGCATGTCGTTTTATATGGAGAAATTACGTAGGCAAATCTCTTTCATTTATGTAGTTTCATTTTCATAGATATAATCACGATATATGTCTTTTAAATTTTTAAATCGAATGTTGTAGATCAAACGACGGTGACACAGTGAATCAATTTCAACACTTGCTTAAGCTACAAGATGATGGACAAGTTCATATCATATTCCCATTGATTATTTGTCACGTGATTGACGATCAAAGTCCGTTGTATACACTTTCGGCTAAGAAATTTCTCGAAAAAAGGTGAACAATTTTTTTTCACATGAATTATGAATATTTTATGATTTATAATATGCATGTTTAACCATAGATTCGAAATTATTGTGACATTCACCGGCGCATCTGCTTCAACTGGCCAAATAACAGAAGATAGAACGTCATATCTATCAAGCGAAATAATATGGGGCCATCGATTTGTAAACATAATAGAATATGATGCACAGAATCAAGAATACTTTGTTGATTATGACAAATTTGAAGTGACGGAAGAGGTAGAATAACGTGTGAACAGATTTTTTGTTTTGTTTTTATTTCGAATATATAAATTATTTTCAGGTTGACACTCCTTTATGCAGTGCACAAAGATTCACGGAAATTACAAAATCAGCGCTAAATTAAAAACTAGAAAATACTTCGATAGAATAGATGTATCTTTAGGTAGATCGTTAAGTTTTATAGTGGTTATTGAAACGTGTAATTACATTGTCAAAGCCTTGGAGAAGTCTGGACTACATCACAACAATACACTATTTCACGAAAAAACATGTTTTATTGTATTTCGAAGCGATTCAACATTTTGGCTTCTTTTTGATCGAAAAAATCCATTTCAGTGCTCGGAATTATTCTCCCCGATGAGTACAAAACTTATTGATGGAACGGAAGGTTTGCGTGAATAAACATCTGAATAGTATATTCAACTTTAAGTGATGATGGCAAATGAAATCGTGGGCGTTCATTAAAACAGCGATGTGAATTAGATAGAATTATAGAGTTTGATCCGAATAGAGTTTGTATTTGCGCTTATTGTGCTCATTAAAATGAATATGCAGGAAAATCTGCTTAAACAATGAGATCATATAAGAGACTCAATCTGGCATGCAGTACATTTATTGCAACAAATCAAGTTAGTTGTATTTCAAAGTCGTGTGAAATGACTGACAACGGTGGCAAGAGCAAAAAAGCTAGATTAGCAGACACATCACATCGAATATCAGGTGATAAAGATAAAAATAAAGGCGTATTAAATAAAATTAAAATATTTGTGTCATAGTAAAAACAAAGACAATTTTTCTCTGCTACTGAATTTGTTTGTAACTAATTGAGTTTGTATTCGGTGAAATAATTCAAGACCCGCAATTTTCGAATGGTTCGGAGCCCAGTCAAAGTATGGAAGTGCATTGTTTGCAAACAGGAAGACGTCCACAAAGGCCAAGACGCGTGATTGATAAATCGGGCGAACGAAATATTAGTTTTTCCAATTTGCCACAACGGTCGAAGCGATACATTCAGGATTTTGTTACGACAATTGTTAGTTTCATTTTTATCTTGACAAATTCATCAATTGATATTAATTGCAATTCAACGTTTGTAGATTGAGACCCGTTGGCGTATCGTTATATCGGCATATCTTTTTATAGCTTTCGGCTGTTGGATCATCTTCGCAATGGCTTGGTATTTGATTTCTTATGCACACAATGATTTAGAGTTTGACGTTGAAAGTGGAAATCCATTGCACGAAGGTGATATGCCGTGCGTTGAGGGTGCAACGAACTATGTCGAATTTTTTCTTCTTAGTTTTGAAATACAGGTAATATGAGCATCAAACCAAATTCAGCCAATAAATATCGAAAATATTTTATTGTAGACAACCATCGGTTTTGGCGAGAGATTCCCGAACGAAGAGTGTCCGGAGGCTGTATTTTTATTTGTAGCACAAATTGTATTTGGCATTGCCATTGATGGCACATTGATTGGTATCATTTATGCAAAATTAACACGGCCATCACGCAAGCCATATGATCTTAAATTTAGCCGGAAGGCAGTAATTTGCCAACGAGACTCAAAGCACTGCCTAATGTTTCGAGTTTGTGATCCAAACGAAATTCATATAATTGATTCCAGAGTGCAAGCATGTTTATTTGGCGAAATTTCGTGAGAAAATATTGTTTTTTCGAGCTGATATGGCGTTATCATACATAATATCTTTCTAGATCGAATAATGGTGATATATTAAATCAGTTTCAATATCCACTGAAACTTCAAGACAATGGTCGTGTTCACATCATTATGCCAGTGATCGTTTGTCATGTAATTGATCGTAAAAGTCCACTGTATAATCTCTCTGCTCCACAGTTTTTAGAGAAAAGGTAAAAAAAGCACCATGTAACTTCACCATTGATGCGATTTTAAGTTATTTATTTACAGATTTGAAATAATTGTTACGTTCACTGGTGCATCAGCATCGACTGGACAAACAACAGAAGAACGTACATCGTATTTGTCACGTGAAATTGCATGGGGTCATCGATTTGTCAATATGACGGAATATAAGGCAGAAAGTGAAAAGTATTTTGTTGATTATGATAAATTTGATGTGATTGAAGAGGTAAACAATTTCAAAATAATTATCTGTTTCACTTGAATCGATCGTATGTTGAATTAATTTTAGGTTGATACACCGCTATGTAGTGCGCAACGATTCGATGAAATCAGCGAAAAGGTGAAAAATCATTTTCGCAAAGATAGCCATTCCAGTAATATCTAACAAATGTATCAATAACTAAAAATTACACAAAATTCCAAAACTAAAATCGAAAGAAATAAGGATATTCGCAAAGGTATTATTATTCAACGGCAATTTAAAAAAAAAAATAATTCAAAAAATGTTATTTAAAAATGATAAAACAAAAGATACACCGTAAAGTTGTTTATTATTTTTCATATTCACATATATTCGTAGATGTAAACAAAACGCCGAATTGAATTAGTGTTGCCATCGTCCATACAATGTGCGCGCCCAATAAATTTGACATTTGTATGACTGAACGTTTTGGTGTTGAATGCATTTTGCACTTTTATTCCATAGCCATATTCACCGAGTTGTTGGTGTGCTTGTCAAACTCACTACACTGTCAATGGAAAGTCTCCTCACAGTGTAAATGAAACATCTACACACGACAACATCTAGAGTGTGAGAAAAAAGTTTTAGCTGCAAAAACAAAAATGGCGTGTACATGTACATCTTGAATAGTATTTTCGGGTCGCATAATATTTAATAATATTTACGTGAAAAAAATCGTTTATTAAATGCAATAAAACCGTTGTATGTTTACACAAACGTTGAAATTCGTATATTTAATTTGTTTTCAAGCCAATTGTTTTGGTTTAAGTTTAAATTTGGTGTGCCACAATTAAGTTTCGAAATCCTTTGGCCAAAGAGAGAAAGAGAAAAATCAATTTTCTTTGGTATAGAATTAAATCGGCGGTTTGGTAAATGAAATAAAAATTACACTGCATCGAACATTCAAAGCAATAAAATATAATTTGAAAGATTGTGAAAAAAAATCACCAAGTGAAACGGTGCCTATAGCTAGGGAAAAGAAATTCAATGCGTATGGCAAGGGAGAGTAAATAGAATAGAGACATACGTCAGTGGTACGACGGACCATATAATATGACAGCAATTTTCAATCATCGCAATGCATGTGTTTTGTAAAGTGAGATTTGTATGTAACAATTGTGCACTAGGCTAAATTTTGTTTCAAAAAAAAAAAATAAGAAAAAAAGACAATTGATTATATTATGGCGCCCATAATGTGTGAATTATTAAGTTCTTGATTTTCCGTATTCGTTGGTGTCGATTTATATGAAGTGACATTCGTTGTTTACGCCTCAGTGGAATTGAGCAATAGTAGAAAGAAAAATCGCGAAAAAGAAGAAAAAAAAAACAAAATTTGAACAAATGAAAAGTGACAAAACCATGGAAAAATCGAGCAGCAAAGCCGAATTTGATTCGGTGGAGTTCGAAAAACGTTTAAGCAATTTAAAAGACACACAAGATAGCATACAGGCGCTATCAGCGTGGTGTCTTCAAAACCGTACTCATCACAAAAAAATCGTTACGAGCTGGTTGCTTGTACTCAAACAGGGTAAGATCAAATGCACACAAACAAAATCCGGCCAAAAAATCATTATGGCAACATTTATCAATTTGATCAATAACACGATAAACATAAATCGGGGTCATAATATCTAATATTTGAATTTAATTTTGATGGTTTCATTTTATTTTTAGTCAAAGTTGAGCATCGCTTGACTTTGTTTTATTTAGCCAACGATGTAATTCAGTACAGCAAACGAAAAAATTATGAATTTGTCGAAAGTTGGGGTACGGCATTACAAAGGGCCACCACAATGGTTAGGTATGTATAATGTGTGGTTGCATCGCATTAAAATTTACAATTTATTGATGTTTTATTGTCTTTTTTTCGTTTGCAGGGAAGAAAAAGTCAAACATAAAATTGAGCGAATATTTCGAATATGGGAACAGCGAGCCATTTACAATGAAGAATTCTTGTCCGATTTACGTGGATTGCTGAGTATAAATCCAGCGAAAAAACCGCCGCCAACTGAAAATGACGATGAACAAGCGACTATTACGGTGGCAAATGTTAAAAATTGCATTAAATTGGAAAAAGAAACTGATCGAAGTTTTAAAGCTTTGCCAAAAGCACCATTATGTGATAAAGACTCAATTACCCAATTGAAAGGTATTTTTTTTCTTGCTTGTTGCACATTTGTTTTTGAATAAAAATGATTAAAACGTCTTTGAATTGCCGCCATTGTATGTAGATCGAAGTCAAGTTGAGGAATTGGAAAAGGAAATTATTGAGAGACGTGTTAAATTGGAGCATTATATAAAAGCATTATCGAATGAAATCAAAGCTCGAACCACATTGATTTCAGTTTTGGATCAAGCCGATGCATTCTATCACAATCAACGGGGTGAGGTTAAGGTGGTCGCAACAGCCTATCGAAACTATGGCAACAGCATTAAAACGATGAAACGAAGATTGGAAGATCTGACCAAGACATTGCCAAGCCCAATACCATCGCCCGATATAAATGCACCATCACCGGGTCCACAAGATAATGACTTTGTATTGCCGGGAGAGAAGAATTTCAATCAGGTTCGTTTGATTTATTAATAAATCGATATATGGTTATTTTTTATGGAGTTTTAACGCCACATTCATTTGTAGAATTCTTTCAACGCACAAACCAATCGAATGATGGGTTACATGGATGGTGGACGTTTGCCGTTTGATATCAACGATTTTTCGGCGTCGAGTCCAAAAGGAAACGAAGCACATATTCAGGTGATCGATTCAACGTCAAAGGATAATGATATAGATGATTTCTTCAAAACTCTAATGCATGATACATACACACCGGCAATACCACCACAACCAGTGCCTGCCGTTGGATCATCAAATTATTATGGATCCGCATTTCCATCGCAACAAACAAGCACCTACGAATTCGGTCAATATGAAAATACATCCACAACAAATTTGTTCAGTGGTGATGCAAACAATTCGTCATACAATCAATCGTATTCGAGTACATTTAATGCACCAATCGCACAACCGCCGCTGCCACCCTCAACCAATCAACAGGATAATTGGGAAATGGATATGTCATGGAATGCCAATCAAGAGTCAAATTTCAATCAGTCAATGGATGCACCCAGATCACCACCACATTACGAACGTAAAGGCATCAATACAAATGTCATTGAATACATTGAACCGGGTGTAAATGATTCACATATAGCCGGTGCCGGCGATGTCGATCATCGACAATTAATATTGCCAATGAATGGATTGAGTGCACTCGGGGCAAAGGATCGTGGTCGTCTCAGTGATGTTGATCACCGGAATTTAATTTCATTAACTGGTTCGCCAAAACTCACCGATAAAGATGCAAACGGTTCACAAATCGATTCAATGGTAATTTATTTGTAATATTTATTTATAATCTGCAGCATTTATTATTGTTGTTGTTTTTAAATGTATGTGTCCGATTCTATTCAATATTTCTATCATTAATTCTACAGAGAAATAATGCGCCAGACTCAAAGCTATTGCCGCCTCCCTCACCGCCGGCTATGCTTTTATCATCGAACATAAATACGTCAGACACAGGTAAAATGAACGCTTCGCTATTGCGATTTCAAAATACACCTTTACAACAGCATTCACATGCTAAAGGTACTTTTCATAATGATCGGACTGTCCTAGACATAAATAGAACAATTAAATAATTGATATCTCTTGAAAGTATCACCGCCATTATTATATATTGCGTAGCGATACTTTAAAAGAGTTTGACCGAAATTCAACCGAATCATGACGAAAATAAAATTGTCTATTTTCAGCTTCACAAAATCGTTCGCCATCTAAAGCACATAACGGACGTGACAATACAGAGAGCATTGACATGGAGATGTCAGACGAAGATTTCGATACAATTCCAGACTTTCAGAGTAATTATTCATTTGTGTTTCAAACCAAAATCTTGTTTCGGTAATAATTTCTGATATTCTAGATAAATCAGTGGATGATTTGCAAACGTCAAACATTAACACGCGATCAGAGGGTTTATTGGGTGCAGCTCCAAATTCGTACACATCACCAGTCGACTCAAAGCGGCAAAATCCATTTCGATCAAATGCTCAAGATGTCTTGCATTCACTGCAACCACCTCAAATGTTGCTGCATTCAAATCTACCGATGCCAAGACCTGGTCCACGTCCATTGCTAGACATACCAACCGGTTTCAACAATACACGACCACCATTTCTTGGCCATCATAATTCACTGATGCCTGATATCGATGCCAATTCACCAAATCAACCGCCACAAAATCCATTCTTATTGAACAATCCACGCGTCCTTTCACCGCATCAAACGCATTCACCACAAATGAATTATCGCAACAATAATCAATCGATTCGTGGAAATTCACCGTATTTTAGAAATCAAAAAGGTCCAATGCGTGGCGGTTATCGTCCAAATTTCCGTGGAGGAAATCGAAATTGGTAATTAATTAAACAAAAAAACAAAAAACAATTGCTGAAAACAAAATACCACACACTCGAATTGAAACAAAATAAAATGCATTGCAAAACAACCGAGCAGCGCTCATAATGGCTATTGAATGAATTTTAAAATACAGAGAAAAACCAAAAAAAAAAGCCATTGGAAATCACAGGAACAAATGAAATAAAGATGTAATTTTTATTACAATTATCTGATGACAAATAATGGATTAGCTAAGTCACCACATACCACGCCACACATTTGAATCGATTGAAATATGTAATGAAACTTTTATTTTGTCCCACATATCAACATTTTGAATTGTTGATAGCGTTGACACTTTTTTTGAGGGTAGAATAAGCAAAGAGAACGAAAAAAAAAAAAACAAAACAAAAAATAAACTCTAAGCATGAAGTGGTTTATTATTTTTCTTCTTGAGTTTACAAACTGAAAATAACGAATAAAAATATATATTAAATTATTTGTAAGAAAATTCACATCTTGCAATTAACATTATTATGCTAACTCAGAAACACACGTGTCACACACACACACACATTCGCATATATTATTTGATGTCGGCCACCATATACAACATTCGCTTTCGTTGTACACCACCCAGTCTCATCTCATCTCTCGCTTGATAACATTCATTTTGTTGATGAAGAAAAAAAGAACTTTTTTTTTTAGATTCTAAGTATGTCACAACTCCATTGTCGGAGTTATTTAACTGTTAACGAAGACACTATTATCGATTTTAAATTAAGAATTGTTTAAAGACATTTCCCTCAAATTGAGTTGAAAGAAAAGCCACCACAACCCTCTCCTCCCCAAAAAAAAAAAAAACAAAAACAAAATTGTATGAAGAAAACAAAAATCAAAATGTAAATTAAACAAATAAATTATGTGAATTATTTGCATAAATCCATTTAGGTACAATGCGTTCAAAGGCTATAACTGTCCTCATTCACAAATAAATCTATGGATACGGACGTCGAATGATATTGTGAAGTTTACAGAGAAAAAAAAACTATAAATTCGATTAACGATACATACATAAATTTAGTTAAGACTTGTTAGTCTTTAAATTTGGATCTGCGATTCGATGCTATTAATCGAATGAAGAAAAAAAAGAAAAGAAAAACCAATTAAATCAGTGCTAAATAAAGAAATTTTATTCTTTTTGACTCTTTCCTTTGATCTCAATACACGCCATTCTACCTGAGCACATCATTCCGCTAATTTTCTTTGATTCTTTTTTTCTCTCTCGATTTTAATCGTTTTGTTTTCCAAAATTAATTTTATTTTCAAACAAACAAAAAAACAATTATCCAAACGATTTTTTTTTCTCATTTCGTTACACTCCATACATTTTATTTGTGTTTTTCTTGCCTTATGAAAAAAAAATCATTTTACCGATCCATACAGTTATGTGGTTTTGCGGACAGAAGAGCTAACTCTTGTCTCTAGTTCTTATCGTTTGATGTATGTTTTTATTTTCAAAATAGTTAAATATTGCTGTGATTTATCGACTCGCTTGAAAAACATGGAAAAATTGCTGTAAATTGCCTTAGGTTAACAACATATTTTCATTTGGACATTTTCATAAACCAATTAATTTATATTATCGAATAGTTGTAATCAGAACAAAACAAAACAAAAAGCAAAATTAGGGAAACAAATTTTTGATCATTTTCTAGTGCTAGTAGTATACTCTTCTCTCTGTGTGTTTATAATTGTCAAACAATTTTTTCCATATGATTAAAATTGAATTATTATTCGTGTTTGAATGTTTCTGCATTTGCATTATTACGTACATTTGATTTACGGCATTCTATCGAGCATTCCAGTATCGAGTTCGTTCAACAAGTACACCGAATCAATCTATGTTGATCGTGGAATGTTGACGAATTTAATTCAAATTGGTCGATATCAATCGGAAGTGAGTGTACAATTTTAAAAATATTTCATTTTGTGGGCGTATGTAAGGGTTGATATAATCGCGATATTATTGTATCCATTAAATTACGATTTTACTGAAAATTGTTTTCAGTTTTACGCCGTACATCAAGTTGAAAGCATCTCAATCAAAATAAAATAAAATTATTTCATAGAAATAGAAAGCAGAAATTATTTCAAACAAAATGAAAAAATTGCTCATTGTTGCTTTGTTATTCCATTATTTGTCGAATGGTAAAAAAAAAGATGTGATTGTATTGTAAAAGCCGAATACCAAAGGAAAATTTAGTTTAAAAAAAAAAAAAAAAAAAAAAAACAAAATTGACAAAAGACTTTTTTTTTAAATAATATTTAAGATAAATTTCGACTGTGATTTTAGATTTAAAAAAAAGAAGAAAATAAGAAAAAGACAATGAAATTAAATAAAATTTAACGATTTTGTATGTGATTGTAATTTTTCTTGACATTTTTAAATTTCATTTTGTGGCGTAGGAGCTGAGGCCATTGACTGTAATGTTGAGCCAAAAAACAAAGAAGGACAGCTTCGAAAACATCTGTTTTGTGAGTATGATCGAGATAATCGGCCAACAACGAAGGACGGACCCATTGTTATCAGATTCAAAATGATCATCAAAGGTTTCTCATTTAGCGATGTTGATGGAAAATTAATTGTGTCGACATGGTTGGCAATGGTATGTTTTACACTTGGTTGGTTTGATTTGTTTCTATGATACATTGAATTCGTTTCAGAGTTGGATGGACGAGCATTTGAAATGGGATCAAAATGCCTTTGGAAATTTATCATCGATCACTCAATCCAGTCAAACAATTTGGTATCCAGATTTGGCTTTGTATAATAGGTATTTTGTTTTTCTCTCACAATATATCACAAAGAATAAATGATAATGATTGAGTGATCGATGATAAATGTTATTTATTTTATTTTGTCATCAGTGATGTAGCTTCGGCAACTGATGAATCGTGCAAGGATGCAAATTGTGTGATTTCATCGACTGGTTCTGTTTCATGCATTCCTCCATGTTCCCATACCGCAAAATGTTCACCAAATTATAATCGTTGGCCATTCGATGTACAAAATTGTACGCTACACATTGGCACCTGGGTGAATTCGGGTGAAGAAATCGATTATAGAGTATTGAAAACAATTTTAACCGAAGACCAACTCTCCTCGCAAGATATGCAATGGAAATTGATTCGTGCGACATACAAACGAAATCCAGGCAATTTCACCGATAGTAAACAAACATATCCGTCGCTAACATTTTCGTTTTTAATGGAACGTCATTCAGCCAGTCATTCGGTTATCATTTTCGTTCCGGCTCTCAGTATGTGTTGCATTTTAGCTACGCTGATGGAATTTAACGTTGATTGAATGATTAATAACGATGTCAATGTTTGTACCATTTTAGCATTTGTTCTGTTGAATTTGATATCATTATGGGTGGATTCTCAGAGTAATCGTCGAATCATTTTGCTGGCATTGAGTTTATTGGGACATTTACTTTACATGCAACATTTATTCTGGGCCTTACCCGCAAATGGCGATACAGTACCCGATTTATGTAGGTATTTTAAAGATAAAGATACTCACACACGCATGATTTTAGATACATCATAATTGTGTAAGAATCTGAACAAGATACTGTGCATCATAGCTTCATTCTGCGCGGTGTTTAATTCATTGATAAAAAACTCAAAGAAATAGCATTCATACATATGATGAAACAATAAAAAAAAACTAAACGTGGCATTAACAATTAGAGATAGGTGGAGAAGTAATACGGCTTGTAATAATCATATTTCAAGAGACATTAATTCTAATTTACGCCGAACTCCCGGCATAAATTCATTCATCATCCAAAAAAGCACAAGAAATCAATCGAAAATTGTGACACAAAAACAAAAAAAAAACGTCATTGACACAAAAAGCACTCATTTTCTCCACATTGAAAGAAATATTGTAATTTATAAATATTTAACAAAAATTAATTGCGGTTGCTCTTGTTTTTCTACTCATAAAATATATTATCGCATGATATTTATATTGTTTGCTCGTAATGAATTAAAATGGTGAATACACCAATAACACATACATCGGCGACGTCTAATCTGAACGTTTTGCGATTCACAAGCGAGAAACGTCATTCGCATTGTAAACAAACGTCAACTGTCACATTCAAGCATTGTTTTTTTAATTCATTGTGATTTCGGTTCAAATTACAGGTTCGGACGTTCAAGCTTTCTTTTTTGTTGTTGTTTCTAATGAAAGAGATAAATTGAGCGATTTTGGCTTAAATTTCAATTGAATTACATTTTCGAACGTTCGAACTTTGTTTTTGTTGTTGTTTTTTCTCATTCGTTGCGATTTTATTTTAAAGCACTGTCCGGCGAGTCACATATTACCAAAGCACTGTCCGACGAGTCACATATTACCGGGGATTTAGCTCAGTGGTATGAACATACCAATAATACGACATCGGTGATGAATATATCGGCGACCTTAAAACGTTATAGCTTTAAGTTAACATTCAGCAACGGGGGTATAGCTCAGTGGGTAGAGTGTCCGCTTCGCATGCGGAAAGTCAAGGGTTCGAACCCCTTTACCTCCACTTCATATTTTTTTTTATTCATTTTTTTTTTTTATTCATTACTTTATTTATTTCAAAATTCCATGATTTCAAAGTCTAAATTTCATTCAAATTATTTAATTAATTCCATTTAAAGAACCAGATGCTCAGAGACAAGACACTTACACTGTCAGTCATATACAACAACAATACCATTGGTTACAATAGGCTGAAATCGTCAATGTAGTACATATATGTATGTTTGGCCGCCGGTTTCTTTAATATTTTCTTTTTTCAAATGTTGATTTTTTGTTACTTACATTAAATTACTCCAATCCTTCTTTTCGTTTAAATTGGTTCGGTGTTCTTGGTCCATAAAACACTATATGCGACCTTTTAACCAATAAATTTAACGTTTGGAATTTCAAAGTTTAACTTTAAATAATTCCATTTGACAATTTTTTTTATTTCAAATGTTTGTTCTTTGTTACTTAATTCTCCATTAATTTTTTATTTAAAGTTCGGTGTTCTTGGTTCAGAAAACAATATCCGCGACCTTCTCACCAATAAATTTAACGTTTGGAATTTCAAAGTTTAATTTTAAATAATTCTATTTGACAATTTTTTTTATTTTTTATTTCAAAAGTTTGTTCTATGTTACCTAATTCTCCATTAATTTTTTTATTTAAAGTTCGGTGTTTTTGTTCAGAAAACAATATCCGTGACCTTTTCACCAATAAATTTAACATTTTTGAATGTATATATAAAATAATATACCAATAATTATTTTTGTTTTGTTTTAGTGATCTATTTCCGTGATTCGTTGTTGCTAACAGTTGCATTGATAATAAATACAATTATCGTGCAGGGAATGATGTCGTGTAATATGCAAATACCTGAGTGGGTTGACAAGACTACAACATATGTGGCAAGCAATCGTGCTGGTCAACTGTTCTTGTCCAAACATCTTGTTACAGCGGTAATGACATCAGATATTTGAGATTATCATCTTTCTATTTTGTCTTTATAAATGATTTTCATTAAAATTCGTCCATATAGAAATTTGGTATGCCGCTGGATACGAGTGACGATGATGTTAACTTGGTTGAGTCGCAAGCCAATGAGAAGGACACCAAAAAAATGGAGAAGCAATTGTGGCAGAAATTTGGAAACATTATTGATCGTGGACTATTTGTTGCTTTATGCATTGTTTATTTCATTATGATGCTTGGTCTATTGCCAGAGAACTTTTTGGATGAGAAAAATCCAAGCTCAGTCGAAATCATCGGCTATTAAACCGCAAATTGATCCAAATTAACCCTCCTGCACACAGTACATATTAAGAACAGATCAATACGGTATGGGTCACTCAGGCCCTCCATACAAATTGTTTTTATTCGATGAAAATAAAAAGCGAGTTGAATAAATTGAAATACAAATAAAAATTATTGAAACAAATGTAGAAAAATTAATTCGATTTTGAAGAATCAGTTTTATTCCAAATTGTTTAGACAAAACAGCCAAGTTTGAATGCTCACCGCAAACGTTTTTGTTACATTTACTACTTCATGTTTTTGTTTTTCGACCGAGTGAAGCTTCGATGATGGTTTTTCAACGACTTCTGGTACAATCAAATGTTGGCGAACCTGATTCAAAACTGACTGATGTTCTGCGACGAGTAGATCTGCGAGCAATTTGATCGTAAACCGATGATTCAGACAGTTCAAGTAGAAACTTTTTACGCTGAAATTCGTATTGTTCGTGTCGTAAATCTTCTTCAGTTTCAAACGCTGCAATTTCATTTTCATGCAATGATTCTTCCATTGCACGGCGAATTTCATTTTCGGTCAATCGGTGGAGATGAACTGAAGCCTCCATTGTAACGGTTTCCTAAAGAGTTAAAAATATTTGTCTTACTTATATGTGTGTACTATACAAATACTCGACCAATAATACACAATGCCTACCGATGTACTTGTACTAAATTCAACTCAATAAATTATGGAAATTTATATTGCGAATTCAACAAAAATTCTTCCACTAAACTGTAAAATTTTCGAAAACAATCGGAAATATTGAAAAAATAATAAATTAAAAAATATTGCGGTTATCATAACCTCACTTTATTACTTTGACACATTTCATAAATCGCACCTTAACATCGGAAAATCATATTAAAATTATTCAACAAAAAATATTCGGTGCTTTAAATACGATCAGCCCTTTAAAAATGATATTGACGTCAGATATTAAATTGCAATTGATCAAAACACTCGTATTACCAATTTTTGATTACATGGATATTGTCTATCACAATTACGGAATTCATGGCACAAACAATGATAGTGATAAATTGGAAAGGTTGCAAAATATTTGTATAAGATTTGTTTTAAATGTTGATCGTCGAGAGCACATAACATCTCACAGAAATTCATTAAATTTAATGAAATTATATGATCGACGCACGCTACATATCGCAAACATGATTCATAAAATAATTAATAATAATGCACCACCATATCTAAATAATTTAATCAACATCAATACAAATAATACTCGCTCAGAAAATAAATTAATTGTTAAAAAACCCAATACTAATTTCCAAAAAACATCATTTTTTATAAGTGGACCAACAACTTGGAATAAAATTTCTGAAGAAATACGCTCTATTGAATCTCATGATCTCTTTAAATCAAAATATGTAGCTGAAATATATAAATGTTATGAGCAATTGATTTAGTATTATATCAGAATTTATTTATTACTTTTCCGCACACTAATGTAAGGTGAAAAGTATTGTAATCGGTCAAAATTTTGAAAACTTCAGAAACATGTTTTCTGGACGTTTCTGAGGTCAGCGAACCCGAATCAGGCCGTTTTGAGCATAGTTTATGTTAATCTGTACGTCGTACGTTGTACGTCGTACGCAAAATTTGTTAGCAAGATTGCGCTCATCGTAGAAACTTAATTCAAAATCTGACTTTACAGGATGATTGGGGGTCCCGAGGAATAGAAATCATTAGCTTTTGAGCGACTTTGGTTGATGGGAAAAAATGTCATGCCTGGAGTGATACCTATGAAAAAGAGTCCAATTTTCGTCCAAAAGTCATACTTAATGTGGACTTAAACATTCAAAAATATGTATTGGGGGGTTTTTTGGCACGAGAAAACCGAATCTGAGGTTATTTTTGAGATACAATCAATTTTTAAAACAGTTTCCTTGAAAAAATCACAAAAAAAAATGAATTTTTGTATGGGAGCCATGCCTGTATGCTACCTTAATGACGTGAAACTTTGCACAGTCTATTTTTTACACAAAAAAATAACATTCTGAAAGTTTGAAGAGATTTCAATCAAAATTAGGGGTACCTCCCATACAAAATTTTCAATTTTTGGCTCAAAAACGAATATTTTGCATGGGAGGTACTCTTAATTTTGGTTAAAATTTCTCCAAACCTTCCGAATGTTATTTTTTTGTGAGTTATGAAAAGTGTTTCAAAAATAATTTCTATGGCAAAATTAACGTCAGACATATTTTTTAATACAGTTTCCTTGTAAAAGTCACAAAAAAATTGAATTTTTGTATGGGAGCCATGCCTGTATGATACTTTAATGACGTGAAACTTTGCACAGACTATTTTTTACACAAAATAATAACATTCTGAAAGTTTGAAGAGATTTCGATCAAAGTTAGGGGTACCTTCCATACAAAATTTTAAATTTTTGGCTCAAAAACGAATATTTTGTATGGGAGGTACCCTTAATTTTGGTTGAAATTTCTCCAAACCCTACGAATGTTATTTTTTTGTGAAAAAATAACCTGTGCAAAGTTTCACACCATTAATATAGCATACAGACATGGCTCCCATACAAAGATCCAAATCTTTTGTGACTTTAGTTATGGAAAGTGTTTCAAAAATAATTTTTATGGCAAAATTAACGTCAGACATATTTTTTATAGTATTTTGTTAGAAAATAGAATACTTTCAAATGTCGTACAAATGGGTTCATCATGAAAGTGTGAAAAAAAATTTCTCGGGTACTTCTGCTATTAAATTAAAAAATATTTCGTTGCCAAAGTTGAAACATATTCTTTGGTTTCGAACTTTACGACGCTTGAAAGGCTTGAAAAATCGAACAAATATTATTTTGAACTTTCTTAATAAAATACGCAACTACCACAGTGCGGAAAAGTTCGTCTTACTCCCGTAAGACTTTTTATTTAATTATTTATATAGATTCAACCAATATGTTAATTTTAATTACAATGTTCGCTACTTTTTTACCATAAAATGTATTAGCTTTAAGAAAATGTAATTGGCCTTTTGGCAGCAAGTGTATTTAATCATTGCACGTGTAAATTTTACACAGATTGATACACCGTATACTAATAAATAATAATAATAATAATAATATTCACACGAATTCACCGAACTCTTCAATAACCACTCGATTCAAAAGTGTGAATTTACATGAATTCCTGTGAATTTTTTTGACGTATTAAGCCCCTAGGAATAAAGGTTTATACCAATAAAAACGAATTTAATATAGTGTGTTTGTTGTTCAAATGGCAACGTTTTCCTATCGGAAAAGCGAGAAAAATTGATCGGTAGTTTTTTTGTCGAAAAACTCCCCAATAGGGGTAAGAGGTTTTAGGGGCCAAAACTAATGATCCAAAAACTAACTACCATTTGGAGCATCTCAAAATCATTGAGAATGGGGAGAATTAGTGGGACTGCTCCTGCTCCAAATCAGAGTTGGTAAAAATGTTGTATAAAGCATGGACGGACAGAAGGTTAAAGCGCAAGTTTGAAGTAAATCGATTTCTTAGTTTGGATTTTATTCAAATTTTTTCTGAGTTGCTGGCCTGATAGTCTGCAGGAGGGTTAAAACATGAGATCACATAATATATATATTTTGAGTTTATGCAAAATAAAGCAAGTAAATATCATTTTACCAATTATTTACACCCATTCCATTTATAATTGAATGAAAATTAAATTGAATTACAGCAAAACTTAAAATTATGAAAAAGAAATTCTACATTTTTTATAAATTACAAATTAATTGAGACAAAAGCCAGGTCCATTCGGTGGTTGCGCTGGTATGCCACGTTTTCGCATTCGACATGTGTGCTCTTCTAAACGTTGTTGGGCCTCGGATATATTTCTTACCTGTGTATGAATTACATAGAAAAGAATGTAATTAATGAAAATTCGAGAGTCAAGCGCAATAAGGGCACACTATATAAACGCCATCTATTAATAACAGACTAACTACAATGTAAAAGTATAGCGAGAGGGGAAGGGAGTAAATAAAAAGGGGAAACAGATACGTTTGATTTACATTGTAGTTAGTCGGTTATTAATAGATGGCGTTTCTGTGTAAGATGTGTGACGTCACAATGTATTTATATGGATAGCGCTCGACTCTCGTGAAAATTAAATTGCAAAAGAAAGTCTAGGAGAAAGTGAATTTCTTTGAATGAATCTCTTACAGTTTCTTGAGACCAAAGTTTTTCTGCCGCTGCACTGGCTCGCGGAAAAATTCGTTGAAGAATATTTGTGTCATCGACCACTTCCGACCACATGCATGCTTCACCCCCAATTAAAAGCGCCTGCTGTTGGGCAGATCCTGGAAAATCACTCGGTTCGCATTCATAATATTTTCGCCAATCGCCGCCGTTGGACAAATGATCCAAATACCAACAACTGGACAAAATGGCTGGAAAACCACTCTTCGTAATTGCATTAAGAAGTTTTCCTCTATAACATAAATTGAAAATATATCGTCCTTTTAATGCTTTAACAAATGTAAATTTATGATATATCTACCTATCGCCAGTCCACACGTGAACAACTGTTCCAGATGGCAATTGAACACCATTCTCGAATACTTCTTGCCAAACAATTGACTTGTGCTGTAGATCTTTCGTCATGTCAACAACTCGTTGAATATACAGTTCTTCGAGTTTTTCATACGAGCTGATGTTATTTATTTTCATATAATTTCGAATCTTTCGGCTTGATTTCCAGCATTCAAAGCCGACTTCATCGCCTCCCAAATGTATGTACTCGTCTGGAAAGACGACCACTACTTCCGTCAGTAATTTTTGAATGAATGTATAAACTTGTTCGTTTGTCGGATCGATCGGGCCCAATTTTCCATTCAGGTAACCATCACAAGCAGTCAACAATTCTGGATGCGATACACCCCAACTGCGTGTATGTCCAGGTGAATCAAATTCGACCAATGTACGTATACCTCTCAAACGTGCATATTCAACGATGTCTTTGACATCATTTTGTGAGTAAATCATACGCATATCATATGCACCTTGAGCACTCAATTCGGGAAATGTTTTACTCTGATATGGAAAACTTTTAAAATGTCAAAGCGAAAAAATCAATTATTTTTTGAATGGTATACTTCATTTTACTTATTTTATATCGCATTTTCCTTACCTATGATCGTCAACGATGTGCCAATGAAATACATTCAGTTTATTAAAAGCCATCCCATCGAGAATTTGCTTCAATGTAAACACATTGATAAAATGTCGAGAGGTGTCTACCAACAAGCCACGATATGAATACCTCGGTTTATCGTAGATTTCAGTCCTTTTTACTCGCAGCTATTAAATGATAACACAAATTACAGCTTAATTTTTCCGCATTTTTTTTTCTCCCAAGTGGGGACAAAAAGCAATTCATTAAAATAATAAAATAAGCCACATAGCTTTTTATACAGTAAAACCTGTCAATAACGAAATCCCAGGGGGACAATTTTTTTCCACTATTGAGTCAATACTATTGATACGAATTCCACTGAACTCAGATTCCATTAATAACAGGTTTTCACGTACCGAAAATATACCCAAACTGTCACACTACTAGCGCCACGACGGAATTCAGTGTAATTTACACTAAGTTGCCGCCAAATAGTGAAAAGACTTTTGCTCAGTTGCAAACAACAGACTAGAACTTCATAGTTGTCCGTAGTGGCGCTAGCAGTGCTACAGTTTTGCATTTTATACAGTCTCTTGTGGGGCATAATTTCGGTGTGGGCTTTCACGCCAATTCAGAAATTCAGAAAATTTGAAATTCACTTATCTTTATCATTAATTTTTCAGGGGGTGATTTTGAAAAAAAATCCTAGAAATGGAAAGAATTTTTCGCATGGAAAATCCAAGCGAAAACGCTATTGCAATCGGAAAAAAATTGACTTCCAAAAAACAGATCGAAAATCCCTAGCAAATCGAAAAAATATCTCTCGCGTTCGAAAAACCCCAGCAAATAAAAGAATTTTTCCCAAATGTTTTCCACTATTGAGGGTGAGGGTTTTCTGACCATTTTCCATTATTAGCAGGTCATTCTGTATGGGAGAGCTCAACGACGGAAATTTTTTTCCACTATTGACAAGAATTCTACTAAAGTCAGGTTCCGTTATTGACAGGTTTTACTGTATATTTAACAAAAAAATCACAGGTGATTTTTTTTTGTTCATAACACCGAAACGATTAAAACTACATGTAGGCCATTTGATATTATTGTCGTTTTTTTTTACCGTGTTACGATGATCGGGCGAAACCACCAACAACTGGGAAAATGATTCCAAACCACGTAATATGCCCCAAATTGATTTGGATCCAAGGTAAGCCGACGAATTTGTAATATTCAATTGATCTATGGTTTGGATTTATTATTAACGTATACAAAAAAAGAAATGATTTGAATAACTCACATGATTCTTGCATTTGATGATGAGGTGTTGCATTTGTGCATGGAGTTGTCAAATCAATACTGATTTCATCGACGAATCCAGCAAATAATGAATCATTTCGAAATTCAGGAGTCGGATGTTCTATGAAGCCAGGGCTACGGGGTCGCATTCTACCATTACTTGGCAATAGTTTTTGAATGATTAGCTTATATCGCCTTATCGCGTTGAGCAAAATATCACAGCTCTCATTTTGAATCTGTCACAAAAAAGAATCATACAGCTTATTTTTAAATGAAAAAAAAAAACAATGAAATAAATAAAAAAATCAATATAATACACCTTATATTCTAGTAAACTCGGTCGCACTATAAAAAAGTCATCATGTGAATTTTGTTGAAAGGGCTTTGGCCAGATTTCACCTATATTAAAAACACAATGAATTTTTTATAATTTAATGTTTCTCTTAATTTGTTATTTTATTTATTTTTTTATTGTTTGTAGTCAATTGCACCTTTTGTTGCTTTCACAACTGGACCCGGTTCAACAATATAGCCATCTATGGAATAAAAATTGATCACGGAGAAGAACACAAAAATTAATAACACCATTATAAAAATGAGCACCACAAAAATGTGCTATACGCTTGTCAAACGTCCGATTAAAACTGATTCTTGTCAACAACACAACGAGTATTTAAATAATAAAATACATTCGTGCGCACAGATGAATGACCCCTGACTTGTATAAGTGGTTTGGGAATGCGTTATCGCAATATATTGAATTGATTGGATGTAAGAACAAAAAATCAGAGATAATAATTTTCGATTTCTTTGAAATATTAAAGTATGGAATCCATAAACAATAGCCTTATTTATTACGTTGATTATAATATAAAAAATTTATGTATGTGAATTTTTATGGAGGGGAAAAAAATATGTTGCGTATGCCGAATTTTTTCAAGTGCACAATTTGCAAATAAAAAAGTTGCACTGCGTGGTTTATATTCGTTTAAGCAAAAGATATGTAAATATTTAATGTATAACACACTATGACTCAGTGGCGAATATAGCACTCTCAGCATGCCTCTTATCTGGTGTATGTTTGTTTTGAATGAAAAGTGTAATATATGCTCTTTTTTATTTCAAATGGGAGCTATCATTAAAACAGATTCAAATTCAATCCATCACTCACATTAACACATACTATAAAGCGACAATTGTTTCAACATGGTCATTAAATGCAATTGCCCATTTTATTAAATGTCACAAACAGTTGAACCCACACAACCGCATACGGAAATTCATGGTTAGTCGATGCATCGCATAAAGACATTTACAATGAACAAGCAATCAGAAAAAAAAGTGTCTGCTTATCATGCATGTGACGTCACATAACAACAAATTAAATTTGTCGAATTACAAACCAACAACAAAAAAAGCGGTGAACTAGAAATACAGCATTATGACACATTTACTGCGTATTTCGGTTTGTCTGGCAGACATTTATCTCGAAAATTGATTTAATTTTGAAATACCATATTCATAAAATATGTAATAGGTCAATAAATATCATAGGGAATCTTGGAGTACGTTGTTATCTACAATAACAAAAACAAAACATTCACTTTGAAATGTTTGAAAAAATTTTGTTTTGTTTGTCGAATATTTCAGAGTCCAAACAAATATTATGTGTACTTTTTTTCTAAGAATTTATATTTTGTACTCTCATTAGATCGTTAATCCCGAATGATTCATTCATATCCAGGGGGGTTTGGTAGTCCAACCCCCCCTATCATCTCAAGAAAAAAAAAAGATTTTTTCATTTATTTTTCGGAGAAACTCCAAAACCGTGAAAAAATTTCCCATTTCTATTACAAATACTTTCTCCAAATGTGTTGCATCATACAAAATTTATGATCTACAAAAAGTCAAATATATCATATTACAAATTGCTCAATAGGTTCAAATAATAAAATCACATGTAATTCTTCAAAAGTTCTAGCCAAATTGTTCAATAAAGATAACAATCTTTTGGACTCAATTGGCTTTGGACTCAATCCAGTCATTTCAAATGAAAAAAATATTTTTATTAGATATTTACTACTGAAACCAAGAATATGAATATTTCAAATGCACTTGCTAAGTCAGTATTCTTCACTTCCTACGATACAGAAATGGGATGTGTTATGAAACAAATTTCATGAATATCTATCATAGCAGCAATAAAAAGAAAAATCTATCAGAAATCCAAATTTAAGAGTAGATATAAGAATGCTTTTGTAGATGATTTTCTATTCGAAGATTCTTGGATAACTTCTAGAGAATTTATAATAGGCAAAAGAAATTCCTTAAAGTAGTGATTGCATCCATCCGTTTAAGCCATCGAGTTTTAAAGTATTTTTGCAGTCGCTTCTTTTAATTTCATTTTTTTTATTCATTAACTGCGTTATTTAAATACTCTTCTCGGTATTAAAAGCAAAAAATAGAAGAATGTTATTGTAAGACTACATCAATTGAATAAGATCAATTTATACTATTATATTGTTTTTTTTTATACGTTGACTTTTTTGAAACTTCCCCTGTCATGATGTTCTGGATACGCCCCTGATAATAATTCACTTATTATGATTGGACTGAAAACGGCACAATTTATGTTTCTCTCTCTGAGTTTTCATACTGTTTTAAAAATTGATTTTCCATTTGCATGTTATTTCAAAATGTTTTTTTTATTATTTTTAAAATTTATTTTTTTTTCTTAAAATCAAACTATACTATTAGAAACTTATATTCTAATGAAAAAAACTTTTTTCAGAATGGTAAAAAAAGAATTATCTAACGACTTCAACAACAAGAGTCAATTTCATGTCAAATTATGCTTAATTTTAGCATATATTTCCTATGACTAATGAACAAACTATGTCCACTGTCAATGTAACAGTGGATAAATTGGCATGGTTGGTTCATTCTTTTTATGCTGTCCATTTATCGAATGAAAATGTGAGTTTCATTTACTACTTAATTTTAAGTCGATTGCTTTTTTTTCTCTCTCTCAATCGAATAGTAACGTTGATTAAAAGGAAATAAATGTGGTCAAATTGATATCCGTAAAAAAAAGTAAAGAAAAATGATAAAAAAGAGAATCGTTTTAGTTGTACGTATGTCAAAGAGTCTATGGTTCGATTGGCATGTCATCTAAACCGGATATTAGATTGGGTAGCATTTCCAGGAACTTTCTTTCTTCGTTATCTTCCATGATTGTATCTCTGCAATCGTCACAAATGCTCTGAATGATTCTGGCGATTGCTTTCAACGTTGTCTGCAAAAATAAATATAAATTCATTACAGATCGCATTCGAAATAAATTTGCAGTTAGTTAAATGATACCTGATTCCAGTCGATACGCATCAATTTCGTGCATTGTTCGTTAAGATATGCTATGCTCATTAGTCCGTTTTTTATGAGTTTGATCATCAATTGAGCCATTTTATCGAAGCTGATTGTCGGTTGATTTTGTTGTGTAAATACATACAGAGGCGATAGAATCATTGAGAAAAGGTAATTTGTATCGAGAGGTTTTGATTTTTTCAATTGGTCCTCCAAATCGGTGTCGTCGTCTTGCCGATCTAAGTCACTTGTCTCCGTTGCTGTCGTTGGTGGTGATGGTGGTGGTGGATGAACAAATACCGCAAACTGTTTACATAGCCATAGACTGATGAATTCATCGATAATGTGCTTCGTGACCACATCATGACGATTACAAACTACCATGGATTAGATTACAATATAATTATTTTCGATTTCTTTTACGTTTCATATGACAAAGGAAGTGGAAAAAGATGGGGTCGGAGTGAAAGGGGAAACGGAATCACTTACTCAATAAAAGTACAAGATGAACCGTCATAATGCCAATGGTTCTGTACATTGGATCTGGTAACACGTGCTCAGTAATGCACTTTCTGATTTCCGTACAAATTTTATTAACATCATCGATGTGAATTTCGTCCGGACACATTGAAAGCTGATGCAATTTATATTGCAGTGCATCGAACGTCTTCCATGGTGGCAGTTTTGTCAAATCAATATCGAACGTGTTTTCCATTTGTGGTAAATTCAATAGCGTATTTTTCAGGACCTTTTCCACATCGGCTTGAATATCCTTGGAGAATATTTCTATATTTTTTTTTTGTTCGGAGAGAGAAAGGAAGAAAAAAAATTGAAAAAGAGTAGTAAGTGAGTTCTTTTTTTTCACATTTAACATCATTTTCGAAATAGTAAATGTTGTACAGAATGTTCGATCAAAGCAAGTTAGGATTGTTGCATGTAATAGAAAAGTACGAAAATCACAAATTGGAAATTTGGTTCTCGAGACTTTTTAATCAAATTACCGATGCCTTTTAGATTTTTCGAACGCCATTCATTCATTGTGGCCACTGCTTTTTGAACAGCAATATTGATACAAGTTAATTTGGACGCATCAACCGTTTCATGTGGTAGCAACGCATCAAATGCTATCTGAAATTTGGTAAACAAATCGATTGATTAAACAGTTTGGGAAAATCGTATTCATATTCAGATTCAGTTTCTTGTTTGCATTGCTGGCAAACAACAAACCACAGAGGAGAAACCGAAGAAGAGAAAAAAGGGCAAACAAACAAAGCGGATAACCAATTTTTTTCCACTTTCATTCGCAACATTAAATCTAATGCAATGAATTCGCTTTTTTGTTTGTTTGTTTTTTTTTATTTATTTTTTTGTTTACCTTGACTCGTTGCAGTGCGGCTGGCATTACAAAATCTTGCCATTTTTGTAAAAGTTCTTTTTCACCATTCGAATAGATGCGATACACTTCATTTTGAATCGAAATCGAATCTTTTAACTGAATTTTATCGACCGCTTCAACGACTTTCTTCTTCAACGGTATGAGTATTTCAACTTGAAAATCTTTTATGACAGCCGATTGTACGCGATCTTGTACCACATCAACGGTACGTCGCACCGAATTTGTTTGCGAGTGTAAAAATGCTTCGATCAACTTAGCTTGTGCATCATCTTCATCGGTTTGCGGAGTTTGCGGTGCTTTGTTAGCATTGGCTGATGGTGCTTCACAAATTTTCGGTGTTATGTGACGATAGCGACCGGTGCGTGAAACTGTTTTTGCTGCCGTTCGTCGTGGCATAATTGACACACGAAAATCGGCCAAAAATGGGCAGGCCGCTTGTAAAATGGTTTCAAGCATTGGATCGAATTTTGGCATTTCGTCAATATTTTTCGGCTCGGTACGAACGCTCATTAATGCTGTTTGCAATTGTAAATCATCCAACAAAACATTTACACCAATATTGAATTTGTGAAATGTTCCCGTTACATTGTTTGTATTTGTATCATTTGGTTTGAAGAAGATTTGATGTTTTCCGGTAAAAAATGCGGCCAAATCTTTTGGTACGAAAACTTCGACAGCCGTTAATTCGGTTGCTGCAATTGATGGGTGCTGTGCTTCTATTATTGCTTTTCGTTGTTTACGATATTGACGATAAGAATAGTATTCGTTGGGCATATTCGATTGATCAAATAGCCAACCAATACAACATCGAATTATAAATACCGATGTTTGTCGCATTGATAGCACTGTACTATTTTCAAATTCGGCTGTCATCACGTACAACTCGTAGAAAATATTAAATACATCACGATAATAGTCGGACCGTAGGCTAACCGGATCTAGCATCGAAATAAATTGAACGACCCATGGCAATGTCACGATTATTTTGTGATTGATGATGGACTTTTTCAGTATCTCCTTGATGTCAATCATTGTACGTATCTAGAATTAAACATAAATGAATTAGCCATTATTTCTTTATGCGATGGATAATTAATCTACATTTAGAGGAACTAAAATGAAAGTTCAACAACTCCACTCGCTCATATTACCTTATTTCGAAGTTCAATTTGACGACTGTCAACCGTTGTATTCATACCAAACTCATAAATGAATGGTCGTGCAACGATGAAGCCCAAAAATTTGGCCAACACACTCAATGTGGACAATGTTTCCGATTTCACAATGTATTCGTGTCGATTTTCATGTTCATCCTCCTCATCGCTCGTTGACAAATTCAATGTTTCATATGATGAATCGTTGATTTCAATCAGTTGATTGGTCAAAACGATTTTCAATTGTTCGATAAATGTCGTTTGATGTTCGGCAGCAATTATGAAATCCTTGAAAAACATTTGAAATCCCGGAAATTGGAAATTTGTACTGAAATAGCTGGGCGCAACCAAACGTTGACGTAATTTATTCAATTTGCCCGGATCAATATTCGGTAAATCAGATTGAATGGCCTCCTATGTGTGTGTATATGTGCGTGCGACGTATGTTTGCATATGCGTTGCGAGAGCAGGTAAAGAGAATAAAAAAATTAAAAATCGAAAAATCCCGGAAAAACGACAGATTTGTTTGGTGAAAATTCAGACGAACGAATGGAGCGAACAAAAGAAAAGAAGGAAGACAATAGGAAACAAAGATTAAATTGCGTTTATTGTTCAAATAACCTAGCACGTGAAGTCAAATGCTGTTGCAAATGTAAACCGTTATCGAATGACTACATTAAAATGTGAAAGTAAAATGCGTTCTATTTTTTTGTTGCTCCTTCATATTTACTGTTTCTCTGGCCCATTCGTTCTATTCAACCATATAAAACCATGCTTCCGTGTATGGTAAGTACATTGAATAACAAGTGTATACAGATTCCATAGTCTATGGACATATGTTTATGGTACGTACGTTGAAATTACACGATAAAATCAATTGTGCTGTAAATAGTTTTGCCATGTGTGCCATATTTATCGGATGATCCATTTCGTTAAGCATCGATCTCACTTTCCGTCCGAGTTCAGTCTCAAAATCCCATGCCGGATTTAGATGCTTTGATTCCCATGTTCTTCGATTCAAAACAGAAAAAAAGAAAAAAAAAAGAAAGAAAAAACAACAACATATCAATGGCTATAAAATGAATTCCAATAAACGTATACACAAACCAACCAGAAAATTCAATCGAAATTGATGTTTGTAACATGAAAATGAACGCACTTATAATCCGAATAAACAAACACATATTGAATTAGTTCCGTATCGATATAGATAAATATATCGAATGACCAGATGTCAATTATTTTCTCTAGAGATGTCTTGCTTTTCCCGGTTAAAATACGAAATTCATTGGTATTGAATATTTGGCAGTTACTTCTTTGGAAAAGTGTACGTTTAGATTGAAAAGCTTATCGATTTCTCAAAAATTCACAACGAAATGCGAACAAAAAAGTTTGAAATAGTTTCTTAAAGAAATTCAGTCGGAATAGTTTTTTTTGTTTAGTTTGGTAAATAAAGTTGGAAAATAATATTTTTCACGTCAGACAATTTTCTGAAATATGATAAATTAGTAATGGGAATTCTACAACTTTTCAAAGTTCTGGCTCATTGTCATTATTCCTACGGATAACGACTTTATACGTATCCGCCACGGATATACATTTTATCCGCGTTTGTCAAACGAAGCTTGCGGATATGGATGAATTGACGTTGTCCGTTCGATCCATCTGATCGTAAATCTAAATAAAAATAAATAAATCTGATCGACTTTGTTCGTCTCAGTTAAAGCAAGAGCCAGTAATGAGTTAAAAAAAATGGCACCCACATTGAAATTTTCATCAATATTGTTCATATTATCAACGATGGTCAGTGCAACATCGACATCTATCACAGTTGTACTTACTCAAAAATGCTATAGAAATGATCACGTTGTTTTTTGAATGCTGCCGATTCTCGTGCCGACGGAAAGTTCATTTGTGTGTCCTGCTCTTGCTGATAAAACACTTTCATGCTGTTATTCGGGCCAAGCAATGCCATGCTACTGTTCAACGTATCATGAGTGCGTAACAGTCGTTCCAATTGCATTTTATGTGTGTATACACTCATTAGATCATCCTTTATTGTCAAATCCAATGTTGTTAGGCGTTCATTTTCGAGTAGCACTTTTATTGATGTCACATCAAGCATACGAAGGATATTTTTCTGTAATTGTAGAACGCCCATACCGAAATAAACGCAATTATTGATATTCTTCAGTAGCAAAATGGCGGCATGTACATAGTCGATATTTGTTGTGCCAGTGGCAATGGTTGTGTCACAGGTGTTGAGTTTATTCAACATAACATCATTGCTGCTATTCAGTGTTGTCTTCTCTTGTTGTTGTGACATTGTTGGTAATTGCTGTTGTTTCAGCTCTACCACCGTATTCTCTTCGATATTGCTTTGTTTTGTTAGCTCACCACCGACGGCATCAATTTTACTCAATGTTGACTCAATCGCATTAGTTCGGTCGTTAATGCTGTTACTATCCAGCATATGCGGATTACGTTCGTAATATTCGTCTATATCGAGATTGATTAAATTCACCAAATACGCAACTTCAGTCAGAACATTCGTTACAAGATTTAAGTCAAGCACAATCGAATAAATATCAATAAATTTATCAAGCATTGGCTTATTTGTGATTTTCTGCAAGTCAATTGGTGGGCAATTTTTTTGTATTGCCGATTTTTTGGCGCTCAGATTAAGTTTCTCTTGTAAAAGTACACGTAAATTGGTTTCGGATGGTTGTTGTTCTTCTTGAAATACACGACGTATTATGTCCTTTTGTGATTTAAGAAAATCGCGCGTGCTATCGGCATTCACTTCATGTGGCAATTCAAGTATATTATTATCGCTACGAAAGGCCGGACAATTGAATTCATTGTTGGTGGCGCCGATTCGTGTTGGTACCACACGCCTTGTCGGTTTGACGGTTTGATTTGATTTGGGCGTTGTTTGCATGATTGCCATACCATGTGATGGCTGTGATGTTGATGTCGGGGTCAAAGAAATTCGATTCACTTTTCCTTTTGGCGTAAAACTTGGAAAATCTTTTTCGTGCGATGTGTTGTTGTTGCTGCTCATCGGTTTCGTTGCCGCCACCGCCATCGTAACTGCCGCTGTTTGTGAACGCTCCGTTGAATTAAGAGATTTTCGTGCTTTGTTCGAATTTTGTTTTGGCGTTAGCTGTGTTAGATAGTCGCCTAAACAAATACTCGATGTGTTTACACTGCGTCTATCTTTAGACTTTTCATATGAATGTTTTATTCCAGTGGATGTGTCAAAACATGTGCTGCTATCGTCAAACGATTTTGAATCGTTCGAAGATAACTGTCGCGAATTATACGATGTTGTTGTGTTACGACTTTGACTATTCCCACCGCTTCGATTGTGACTCGTTTGATGATGATGATGATGATGGTGATGTTGCTGTGACAAATTTTGTTTACCGAATGATGTTGGTGTGCTCGTTGAAAATGATGACTGATTGTTTTTTGCTGGTGTACTAAATGCATGCGAACCGGGACTATTCAAACGATGTACAGCAATTGGTGTCAATGTTGTTTTTAAATCTTCTGTAAAATCACTGTACAATGGACTTTTCATCGAATCGAACCCTTCATTTATTTGTTGCGATGATTGTATTGGATCATTGAACGGTTTTTGTGACGATTTCAATTTTATCGATCGGGTTGCTGGTGTTGTTGGCATTTTTGTTGATTCATTTGCTGCCGAATCACGAGTTGAAGAGAATAAATCACGCGAAATGTTTTTACCACCGCCGCCACCATCATCATCTGCATTGTTCGCGCCAATCGATTTTAGTTGTGTTGAATTGCTCGCGCTTGAGCTAAATTGTTTTGCACTGATTGCTCGTTGCTGTTCAGTTGTATGACCTTTCAATTTTCTCGGTGTATTGCATGATGATGAACAGTTTTTATTGTATCTGTTGTTAAAAAAAGACAAAAAAAACATAAATAAAATGTATAGGTATACACATTAGAAATTGCTGAACTATGTAAATAAATACGTAAATTTGTTCCATTGTTGCTGATTTTATGAAAATTGTTATGAATAATTTTCGAATTTCCATTTATTTTCGGACATTTTCATTGTGTTCAATCGATTTGATTTCACATATTTTCGATGATTACAATACATTTGATTATTTATTACATGGCAAAAAAAAAAAAACAAATTCCATCGTCATGAAATTTTTGCACTTAAATTTGATTACTTTTAGCGGGTTTTTGTGAAATTCGAGAAAGAGAGAAAAAAATAAATTATTTTTGTAGAGATTTGAATGTACGAGCAGTAGTGCACAATATTGGAAAACTACAATCAAAGGTATTTTTAGTGAGATTATATTTATTTCTTTATTTTTTTATAAATAAATATTCGTTGTAAAAAAATAATTGGATGACATCGAGAAAATCATAAACCATGCGAGGATAATAAGTTCATTTCCTCGGTACCGACCGATACGATAGGAAAATCGAACAAAAATTGTTTCCGTCTCGAATTGGCTTGGTTGACGACGAAGATAGCCAATGCAGAAAAATGGATTTAAACGATGTTTGACCGATTTTTATGAACTTCCACTTCAATGCACATCACTATATGATATATAAATAAATGTATTATAACGACTCTGAAAATAATAAAGGTGAAATACTATCTGAACCATTGGAGCTTAAGCAAACATAAAGATAAATATAAATTTCTTTACGACGAATCGGATGCGCCATAAAATCACAAACAATCGTTCGTTTCTAGCAACAGTTGAGAGCATCGTTACGGTACACGCTGTTGCTTATGAATCCTGTTTCAAGTCTTTCGCGATAATAAGTACACCATTTCAACGAAATAAACAAAACAACTGGCAGCAAACCAAAAAAGAAGCAAATGCAAAAATAAATGAAAAAATAACAAACGATGTAATAGGTTTCAAACAAATGAAATGCGAATATACAACGCAGAGAGAGAGAGAGAGAAAGGGAGAAAGAGAAAAAAGAATTACGACATATATTAAGCTAAGGTGCACAGACAAATCATTCACCCACATAATTGTTTAATAGACAAAAGGGAGATATAAATAAAAAGAGAAAGAGAGAACGAGAAGTATACACAAACAACGGATAAAAAGATATCATCAAATATTGTATAAAATAATGTTGAAGAAGACGAAAAAAATACGGTACATTCAAAGAATCGGCACGGTACAGGTAACGCGAAACGTCTTTGTATAATGTATATGCTAGGTGTTACATCCAGATCTTTGATAAAATAATTTTTGTCCGTTCTTTCGTTTGTTTAGCACATTTCTTCCTGCTCATAAAACGTCTGTAAGACACTTAATCACTTGACAGAGAGAGAGAGGGGAAGAGGAAGAGAGAGCTTTCTTCAGTAATCGTTGTATCGTTCTTCTTCAAATGACGTTGCTAGCAAAAGTAGCCAAGAATGAGGTATTATGCCCGGCGGTTATAAAAACGGTTGCCCGAATGAACGGCATATACAACAGTGGTGGCGATGTTGATGGTAACTATTACGCGTTTTTCATTTGCTTTCGGTTTTCCCCCTAATTTTATTATTTGTGAAGAGAGAAATGTATGTCAATCTCTCACTTGCTCTTTCTCATCTCTCTCCTTCTTCTCTATTTTAAGATATTCACCATAGCAATATAAAAAATGAACCAACAAAATCCGATGCCACATCTACAACAAAAATGGTAGTTGATTCACCGAACAATTAATTAGATTCTATAGCAACGATGGTGATCCAGTGACCTGTGCGAAAATGTCTTCAATTTACACATTGTTATAAATCGTAAATAATTTACTTTGCTTCCTAAATCCATCGAATCCTAGTTTAATGCTCATCTCAATTTACTCAGGTGAATGAGTCGTAACACTTTTCATTCTGTCGGCGATTACAATTAATTTTCATCTTGGCTCAACTTTATCTTTGTTTTATAGTTTTCCTTCACTATTTGTCTACTCTTTTTCTCTGTTTGTTTCAACCGAATCCTTCTACAAACATTATTTTGCCAAAATAATTTTGCCGGCGGCTCATTTTTCACATTGGCTCACCAAGTGTGCGCATCATTGTCACAACGCAACATATTAATTATAATTTCACTTTGTGTTGAACAAGAAGCGCAATAGTAATGAACATGCTTGATCAAAATGACATCCCTTTGTCATTTCAAATACCCAACAACAATAATTCTTTCATACTTCTTCTATATGACATTAATCGTCGTGTCTATGAACCATATTATAATTTTTCATTTGTTATTATTTTATATCGTTTGGTGTAATTTACCTTTTCCACCATTTTTTCATCATCTTCTTCTCTTATTTTTATTCGATTTTTTCGCTTATTTTCGTTGGTCGCAACGAATGGGGTTCTACTGTGGTGATTTAAGACAAACGATCCACTACCATCATTTATCAAATACGCCGTATTTATGAACAAAGAAATAGAGAGAGGGGGCGAAAAAAATATCGCATCAACGGAAAATGGAATGGCAATGGGCAGCACAACCTATTCACCTTCAATTTGATGAAGCAATGTTTCAAGTGAGATATTATACCATATTAGAATGTTCAATATGAAACAAAAGAAGAATTTATATACACGCATTGTTTGTTTACTAACCATCTTCATTTCTCGGTTTGCTATCGGCGATAGAGAGTTGAATATCCAGCGCACAAAATATGAGCGCTTATTTGTATTTGTGCTCGTGCGTTTCGCTTTCGCAAATTAATATGATATTTAATCCGGAAGCATATTTTATTTCAAATACCGAAGCTATAACGAGGATAATTTGATGTTTTGAACAGTGAATTGGTTTTTCTGAAGCAAAATGGTATGCACAGCGCGCACATAAAATAACAAACGCACATCAAGTAAAAATACAATGAATTCCACATTGTTTCATTTCGATTCTGATGACTGAATAATTACGGCAACGTGTTTTTATATTCAGCATCGCATTCCTTTTTGTTTCGACCAAAAAATGGTTACTCACTCACTATATAATTATGTGTTTATTTTACATGTTTCGAATGTTATGCGTAGGCCACAAATATGATTTTGAAATTATGAAGTGATTAAATGCTTTGAAACAACATAACACACCAGATTCGCCGTATTCAATTTGCGTGCACATAACAAATGCGATAACAATGAAGTCTATTTTGTGGTCATCCAAATGAATTATTGCGGGCCAACGCAAATTAAATTAAATATGAGTAATTTTTTTTGTTTCGTTTTTTCTCTCCGTTTGCGTCATGTTTGCCTACGGTGAAATTCCGCTTTGAGCAAAATGACATCGTGAAAAGAGAAGAACGGAAGATTATTTTGTAAAACAAAAATAAAAAGATGCACAAAGATAATAAGCGAGGGATAATTTTTGGGTGTTTAGAGTGAAAACAACACGGGGATGAATGAACAATGAACATTTTGTTAATTTTTTCGGACGTTTTTTTTACATCTTTAGATAATTATTTGGATGACAAGAATTTGGCGGTGGAGAAAAAAAGCGCACCCGATTCCATTATTATTGGTGTGCAAGGTTTGTTTTTGATCGGATGCTCTTGTTTTTTAATCGAAAATTTAATACAATGAAAATATTTGCACGTGTTTAATGGGAAATTAATCAAAATTCAATTTAAAATCGATTATGTGCGGATTTTGTGGAAATTAATTTTGACATCGATACACTCGAATATTGGAAAACAAAAGATTTTCATAAATAGCGGATGGTGTGCGCGGGTGGTGCGTGCACATTATGATTCTAATCGAGGTACCAAGTAACAAGTGTGATTAACACAGCATATTTTGATATACACACATAATGAAGTTCACGCAGTGCTCAATGTTGTCGTAAAACTATCACAATACCATTTAGCTATTAACTCCAACGATTGTTCGATTAGATATAATATATACTAGTGAAGCAAGTGTAAAGATGGTGTTGTTTCAAATTGATACAGTTAACAACGATTTATTATGTGGTAGATAATAATGCGTGACAATGAAAATTACGATGGAAGTTTTCTATCGATAAATTTATAACTGAACTTCAGTTACTGAAGCTTTAACTCAAACAACAAGAGAAAACAGCGTGGTGGTGGTTTATTGTGCGTATCTCTTGTTGCGCGAATTTCTCGTGGCCCATGATTTACAGCCATTGTCAATATACATACACGCTTTGACACATGACATCACTTGCAGTTTATCGCAAACACCTTGTGGCAAATGTAAATATAATCTCTGTTGTCGTAGCTGTTGTCGTCGTGCCAGTCCCAGTTTTTTTTTCGGTTGGTATTTTCGATTTTCATTGGAATTACATAATTTCCATTTCAATGCGAATCCAATGAAAACAAAAAAGAGAAAGAAATTGTTTCTTCTTCAAAGTTTTGTCATTTCTTTCGAGTTTTTATTTTTCTTTCTCTTTACCTGTCGCATGGGTTTCTTTTCTCTGGATCTGTCTGTTTCTCTCTAACTGTCTCTCTATTTATTTTTCTCGTGTCTGTAATAGACATTTTTGGTTGCCGAGATGAAATGAAAAAAAAACTGATGAACAATTGGGGAAAAAGACAAATAAAACGCACAAAAAGTTGAAAGTTTTTTTTCTAGCTGCTGGCACATCAGGTGCTGTACATTTTCGTTTCGTTTTTTATCGAATCGCTCACATTGTTGTCTCCATGAATATCTTATAAACTTGTTAATATGTAATATGTATTCACATAATAGCTGAGTATGTGTGTGTGCCTGAGCTTCAAAATACTTTCCATGCCAAAATTTAGATGAAGTGAAGAACCGTTCGAAACTCTATGCAATAGATTTGTGCAAACGATATTGAAATTGGAATGGAAAACGTGCGAAAGCAACTTCATCAGACAGTGGTAGTGGCAGTTCCGCAACAAACTTACTTTA